AAGCATACAAAGGTATAAGAATGAGTTATTTAGCAATTATGTTATCTTTTATAAGTACTTTAAACTGCATAATTGTTTAATATCTCCTTTAGCTTTCAGGTTTCTTTGTTTTATTTATTCACTACTATTTTCTTCATACTTGAGAAATGTTAAAAATATTTATCAATAAAAAATTGAAGATACTAGAATCTAACTCTCAAATAATAAACATATGATTATATTTACCTTAAAAAAATTAATAGACTTTATAGGCCATCTTCTTCCCAGCTACAGAACATGAAAATAAACACTAATAAATGTGCATGCATGTGTGTGTGTGTGTATTTAATATGTTCCTTGTGGAATATATTAAAACATTAATAAAATGAACACTAATAAATGTGTGTATGTATGTGCACATATTTCTTAACCTTCATGTACTCATATACATATAAATTATATGTAAATGACATATATGATATATAAATCATTTGCATATAAATGATGTGTACATGAAAGCTAATATAGAGTTTCTCACTGCAGAATTATTATTTCTGGCTGCATGATGAAATGTTTCTCTGAGGGCTTTTTGAGATCACTGTCTTTATAAGAACAGGTGTCATTGTCTTTTTCACTTCTTTGACACTTTCATTGACGGTGCAAAAACAGATGAGAGCACTAGCATAAATTAGAGCAATGGCATCAAACTGTAACTGTAGTCTCTTGCAGAAATTAAAACATCAGTTTCAGTCAAGATTAGCCAATAAAATTTATTCATATGTTTAAATAAAATATACACTTTTTTAAAGGTACAGACTTTAAAAATATTTCTTGTAACAAAATAGGAAGCAAATTATAATTATTCAGCTTTCAGCATTTTGAAGACATTTTCCTAAAAATGAAAAAAGGAAGCCTTCCACTTCAAGGGAAAAAAATAACATAACACTATGTCTATCTAATGAGAAAAATTAAGCTATTGTGAGAAAATTAGAAATTTGGGAAACTTTTATCTGTTACCATAATTTGGGAGCTTTCCAGTGTTTAAAGACTTCTAATTCTATCAGTAGTGATATTAACACACATAATTTTCTTTTGATACTTTAAAATGAAAAGTGATAACATTTATGTAATTAGTTACATAATATAGTATAGCAGTATTTTTTAAATGACCTATATATGATGTCAAAAATCACTTATGGGTAAAATATTATTTTAAAGTGCAAGCTAAATCAATAGCATTTAACACTTGCGTAAAGTTTAGTCATAAGCTTTCAGCATCTACATTGCAACTTATTTTCTGAAATACACCATGTGGTGAGTTTGATATAGTAACAAAAAATCCACTATTATGTTAAACTATTATTATAATACTTTCCCTTTTCTAACTACATATATGTGAAATGGCTTTTCTTTATATGTTTCAATCAAAAGAACATATTAAGATCCTTGTCTTTTACAGTAAGCAATTAATGAGATTTATATATATGTAAATCTCTACCTGTATAACTAATTTTTATTATTCTGGGATATATAATACTTCTTTATTTTTATAGGAGATATACACCATTTTTTATCAAAATAGAATTAGTTTTGTACTGTTGTTATATGAATTAATAATTGAATACTCAATTTTTTATTATTTGTATTTCTTTTTTTGATTAAAATTATTTGCTTTATTACATCAAGGTTAGAAATTAAACTGTTGTGTGCTAGGCTGTCTAATCTTTATAAACTCAAAAGAATGTCACTGAGATATATATACATATATATTCCAGATATCAAGAGTTACTGTTTACAATAGCAAAGACCTGGAACCAACTCAAATGCCCATCAATGAATGATAGACTGGACAGGAAAATGTGGCACATATACACCATGGAATACTATGCAACCAAAAAAAAAGATGAGTTTGTGTCTTTTTTAGGGACATGGATGAATTTTATATTTTCATATGGAAAAACCAGAGATATCCACATTAAAAAAGCTCTTTAAGAATCTTAAAACTTTGGAAGAAAAGAGACAAATATTGATTGAGAGAAACAAAATATTTTTTCTAAATTATTCACTTTTTATATTGACAAAATTTCATGTCTTTACCATGTACAACATGATCTCTAAAATATGTACAGTGTGAAATGGCTAAATGAAGCTAAGTAACATATGCATTGCTTCACATGCTTTTTTGTTGTTGTGAGAGCACTTACAATCTGCTCTCAGCAATTTTCAAGAATGCAATCATTACCATTAACTATAGTGACCATATTGTACTATAGATTTATTTAACCTAGTGCTTCATCTAGCTAAAATTTTTTATTATTGAACCAAAATCTCTTCAACCCCCACCCCAGCCTCTAGTAACCACTATTTTATTCTTTACTTTTATTAGTTCAGTTTTTTAAAATTCCATATATAAGGGAGATGATGTGTTTTTTTTTAATTATTTCTGTACCTCCCATATTCACTTAATTAATGTTCTCCAGGTTCATTTATGTTTTCATAAGTGACAGGATTTATTTCTTTTTTAAGGATGAATAATACTATTTGTGTATATATGCTACAATTTATTTATTCATTCACCCATTGGTGGACATTTGGGTTGATTTTATATCTCGGCTATTGTGAATAATGCTGGAATGAACGTGTAAGTGCAGAGATCTCTTTGATACACTGATCTCATTTGCTTTGGATATGTATGCAGAAGTGGGATTGCTGGATCATATGGTAGTTTCATTTTTACTTTCTTTAGGTGCATCTTTACTGTATTTTACAATATCTATACTTATTTACATTTCCACCAACACTGTGCAAGTATGCCCTTTTCTTCACATTCTGACCAACACTTCTCTTTTGACTTTTTGAAATATAGCCATACTAACAGTGCGAAGTGATATCTCCTTTTTTCACTTTGCATTTCTCCGATCACTAGTTACGGTGAGCATTTTTCCATATCTGTTAACTGTTTGCATGTCTTTGAGAAATGTCTGTTCAGGTCTTGCCTATCTTTTAATTGAATTATTTGTTTTCTTGCTATTGAGTCGAATTCCTAATATGCTTTAGATATTAACTTCCTCAGATGTATGGCTTGCAAATATTTTCTACTATTCTGTAAATTGTCTCTTCACTATATTGATTGCTTTCTTGGCTGTGCAGAAGCTATTTAGTTTGACGTAATCTTGTTTGCCTATTTTTGCTTTTGTTGCCTGTGTTTTGGGGGTCATATCCAAATAATCATTGCCTAGATTGGTATCATGGCGCTTGACCCCTGTGTTTTCTTCTAGTAGTTTATAGTTTCAGGTGTTCTGCTTAAGTCTGTAATTCATTTTGAGTTGATTTTGTGAGCAACGCAAGATGAGAATGTAATTTTATTATTCTACATGTGGGTATCTAGTCTTCCCAACACCATTTATTGAAGATAACATCTTTTATTCATTATGTATTCTTGGTAACTTTGTCAAAAATCAGTTGATGCTAAATATATGAAATTATTTCCGGGCTTTCTATTCTGTTCCATTGGTCTCAAAACAACTTGAAGTGTTTATCAGTTCAGAGAAATTGTACCCAAGATGTAAAGTGCAAATGTGTCTTTCATTCTAGATAACATAGATGCAGTTAGTTTTGTAAAAGGCAGCTATAACAAAAATCTTTAATAAATCATATTCTGACATATGCTACTTTTCCTTCAGAATATTTTTTTTTTACTTTTTAGTTTTATTGCCTAAAACTTGAGTAGAATGTAAATGTAATAAGAAAAAATATATAGTACCAAGGTGTATCTGGGTGTTTTCTGAAGTAAATTCATTTCTTTAACCTCACCAGCTGCAGAACAGTCATTCACAAGTGACAGCAGTAAAAATAACATTCAATATACTTTATTACTGTATCTGAATATGGTAATGGCTTATTTTATTTGTTTTATTTGCAAAGCCCTTTTTCATAACTAATAATATTTGATTTTCCACATAAATTAAAGATGAAACAAGATATATTATCTTTTAAGAGAAAAACAAATCAATTGATAAAATAGACATATTATGTATATTATATATATTGTATATATATATATATATATTAGTCCTTTGGAACAAACTAAATATATATTAGCCCTTTGGAACTAACAAAGGATTTAAATTTATGATATGCTAAAGCTGGCTCTCTCAACAGACCAAAGCTAATTGAGAAAATCTTTTCCTAAATCTGCAGTCAGTAAAGTCATGTTGATAGCTTGAAATCAACCAATGGGAGTATTAACACCATGAAAATTGACAAATGCTACATATCATGGTGTTTTGTTTTTGTTTCCTTTTTACATAAAAGGTCATTGCCAAATATTGACAATCACATCACTGTCAGGGATGTGTTTTATTATGCTGGGTACTATTCTTCCTGAAAGGACAGAATATAACTTTTGAGAAGCAGTTATGTAATGATTGAAAGCATGGGCCATGGAACGAAAGAAGATTTGTTGAACTAGCTAGCTCTATGATCTTAGGCAATATTTAATCACTTTGTGCGTTAGTTCTCTCTTATTGAAACCTCATAGGGTTGTTTAAGGGTCAAAGTAACAAAGGCATAGCTTTAAATAGTACCTGGCATTTAGTACTTACTACATACTTACCACATACTTTGTGGTATTTACCAAGTTAATATGTGATAACTCTCATTACATTTATTACGATGATTATTAACATGTTGATTTCATGACATCCTAAAATATTCCTATACTACTCAGTTTTAATAAATACTAATATTTTATTATTTATATTTTAAATTATTATAGATACTTAATAGTTTTACATATTTAAAGGGGTACATGTAATATTTTGTTAGAAGCATACAATGCATGATGATCAAATAAGGATAACTGGGCTATCTATTCAAGCATATATCACTTATTTGCTTTAGGAACATTGAACTCCATGCTCCTGGTGATTTTGAAACACACAATAAATTATTGTTAACTATAGTCAATCTTTACATTAGGCTTTTATTATAGAATTGAAGAAATTTCTCATAGATTTGGAAAATAATTTTCTGTGATTGTATTCAAACTAAAATGGGATTATAATACAACCTTAAAATTCAATTTAAATTCATAAGTGATGGCATTCAGATAAAAATCTCAGTAATGTTAAAACATTAAAAATTTTATTGTATTCTAATTCTGTCAAAGGAAGATGCTGTGTCAGCCTTTCTGTGACTATGAGGGGAATCAATTCTGAAATACTGAAGCAGACAGTAACATTGACAGAGGGAAAGAGATGAAGGCAACTAAGAAGCCTGTGACTGCCCTGCCTTCCGACTACTAAACATGTGAGAAAGTATATTTGTTGATTTCAGTCATTTTTAATTGACTACTTTATTACTTGCAGTGATAAACATACCAACTGATGTGAATTATTTCCACAATTTTTAAAAATATATTAAGCACTAAGGTTCAGTGTTGAATCCAGTGGTGGAAATGTTTCTTATTCACATGGAGTTTACTTGTTTAATATGGAAGAAAAATTTATTTATAGCTGCAGAATGAGACTCTACCTCAAAAAATATGTATTTATAAATAAATAAATGCATGCATATGCCATCAAACAAGTAAATAGTAGATATCTTTGAATATCTTTTAGTTAAGTCCTTTGCTTCACTCTATTATGTAGTACTCTTTGTTCTGTTTCATAGAAGTCTGATCTGTAAGGATTATATTAGAAGGCTCTTTTCCACAAGAATAATTGAGTTATTGTTCTTCCAATGCAATGCAATGCTATACTATCCGTTACTGGTTTTCTTATGCTGTTTATAAAAGAAAGCATGAAAAGATTATGTATCTATAAAACTTATGTGTGGATCTGTTAACCAGAATAATATTTGAAAACATAGTAGGTGCAGGGAGATGGAAGGAAGGCAAGAAGACTGAATACAAGCCTCTAGTGATCTTTCCTTCCATAAAACACCAAATTTAATGACTACCCACACACACACCAAAAAACACCTTCATAAGAACCAAAACTCAGGTGAATGACCACAGTACCTGATTTTAAACTCCTATTAAGAAAAGAGACACCAAATAAGGTAGAAAAGAGTCTTGAGTTGCCTACATCACTTCTCCCTAACCCCAGCAGAGGCTATGTGGCACGGATAGAACCTGTGCACTTGTGGGAGGGAGGGTGCAGTGACTGTGGGGTTTTACATTGGAACTCAGTGCTGTCCTATCACATTAGAAAGCAGCATGAGGCAGAATTCAGCTGGCACCCACAGAAAAAGCAGGTCAACCAGCCCTAGCCATAGGCAAATCATCCGACTGAACTTGTTTGAGTTTCAGCAAGTTCTGCCACCATAGGTTAAAGTGCTCTGGGATCTGCAATAAACTTGAAAGGCAGTCTGTGCAATAAGCACTGCAATTCTTGAGCAAGTTCTAGTGCTGTTCTCGGCTGAGAATCAGTGGACATGAGGTGTATATGACTAAGTAAGACACCAATTAGCACAGCTAAGGGAGTACTTATGTCACCCTTCTCCTAAACCCAGGCAGCAGAGCTCCCAACTCCATGAGGCACATCTTTCTTTTGATTGAGGAGAGGTGGAGTTAAAGTAAAGTGGACTTTGTCTTTCAACTTGGATGACAGCTCATTCACAGTAGAACAAAGCATCAAGCAGGGTCCCGAGTACCCCATTCCAGGCCCTAGCTTCCAGATGACATGTCCAGATACACCCTGTGTAAGAAGGAAACCTGCTGCCTTGAAGGGAAGGAACACGTTCTTGTGGGATTCATCACATACTGACTAAAATCCCTTGGGCATGGAATAATCAGCAGTGGTGATAAAGGAATACTTGCCACAGGCCTTTAGTGAGCCTCAGAGAAACACTGGCTTCAACTAGGACCCAGCACATTCACAGCTGTATTGGACACAGGAGTGCTTGTGTTACCCTCTCCAAATCCAAGCAGTTCAGCACTGAGAGAAAGAGAGAAGAGAGGTGTGAGAGAGAAAAAGAGAGAGAACGAGAGAGAGAGAGACTAACTGAGACTCTGTTGTTTGAGAGAAAGTAGAGGATAAGAACAAATGCCTATGCCTGGTAATCCAGGGAATTCTCCTAACTCTCACCCAAAAACATCAGGGCAGCACATCCATATGTCTGAAAAAGCCACAGCAACACTGGGCTTCAGGTGCTCTCTAATGAAGATACACTGAAATGACCAATGACATAGATTGCAATGCCCATGTTCTTTCAAATACCTGGAAAGCATTCCCAAGGAAGACAAGTAAAAACAAACCCAGAGTGAAAAGACTGCAAAAAACATCTGAATCGTCAATGCCTAGACACCAATAAACATCCACAAGCATCAAAACCATCCAAGAAAACATGACCTCACCAAATGAACTAAATAAGGCACCAGTGACCAATTTCATACATATGTGACCTTTCAAACAGATAATTCAAAGTAGCTGTTTTGAGAAAGCTCAATGAAATCCAAGATAACACAGAGAAGGAAGGACTTCAAAATTCTATCCTATAAAGTTAACTAAGTATTTAAATAATTTTTTTAAAAATCAAGCAGAAATTCTGGAGCTGAAAAGAGCAATAGACATGATGAAAAATGCAACAGAATCTCTTTAACAGCAAAACTGATTGAGCAAAAGAAAGAATTGGCAAGCTTGAAGACAGGCTATTTGAAAATACGCAGTCAGAGAAACAAAGGAAAAAAGAATAAAAAAAAGAAACATGCAAACAGGTTGTAGAAATAGCCTCAAAAGGGCAAATCTGAGTTTTTGGCCTTAAAGAGAAGGGAGGGAGGGGACAGAGAGAGAGAGAAAGAGAGAGAGAGAGAGAGAGAGAAATAAGGGTATAAAGTTTATTGTCAGCATCATCCTGATACAAGAACCTGGCAGAGACACAACAAAGATAGAAACTACTTCAGGACAATATCTCGATGAATAATTGCGAATTTCTTCAACAAAATACTTGTAAACTGAATTTAGCAGCACATCAAAAAGCTAATCTGCTACAATCAAGTAGGTTCTATCTCTGGGATAAGAGGTTGGTCCAATATACACAAATCAATAAATGTGATGCATGACATAAAAAGAACTAAGAATAAAAACCACATGATTATCTCAATAGATGCAGAAAAGGCTTTCAATAAAATTCGACATTCCTTCATAGTAAACACTCTCAGTAAACTCGGTATTGAAGGAACATACCTCAAAGTAATAAGAGCCATTTATGACAAACCCACAGCAAACATTATACTGAATATACAAAAGCTGGAGGCATTCCCCTTGAAAACCAGCACAAGACCAGGATGTCTTCTCCCACAATCCTATTCAACATAGCATTGGAAGTCCTGGCCAGAACAATCGGGCAAAGAAAGAAATAAAATAAATTCAAATAGGAAGAAAGAAAGTCAAACTATCCCTGTTCCCAGATATAATGATTCTATATTTAGAAAACTGCATAGTCTTGACCCACAGTCTCCTTAAGCTGATAACTTCAGCAAAGTTTTGGGATACAAAATCAATGTACAAAAATCATTAGTATTCCTATACAACAACAAAAGTCAAGCTGACAGCCCAATCAGAAATGCAATCTCATTCACCATTGCCACAAAAAGAATCAAATATGTAGGAATACAGCTAACCAGTGAGGTGAAGGGTCTGTACAATAAGAATGGCAAAACACTGCTTAAAATGGAATGGATAGAAAGAACCGTTATTATTAAAATGGCCATACTGCCCAAAGCAACTTACAGATTTAATGCTATTCTTATATCAAACTACCAATTACATTCTTCACAGAACTAGAAAAAATTATTTTAATATTCATATAGAACAGCAACAACACAAAGACTGTATAGCCAACACAAGTTTTTTGTTGTTGTTGAGACAGGGTCTCACTCTGTCATCCAGGCTGGGGTGCAGTGGCATGATCATGACTCACTGCATCCTCAACCTCCTGGGTTCATGAGATCCTCCTACCTCAGCTTCCCAAGTAGCTGGAACTATAGGCATGTGCCACCATGCCCACCATGTGTATTTTTAGTAGAGACAGAGTTTTGCCATGTTGCTCAGGCTGATCTTGAACTTCTGAGCTCAAGTAATTCACCTGCCTCGGCCTCCCAAAGTGTTAGCATTATATGTGTGAACCACTGCACCGGGCCTAGCCAAAGCAATTCTAAGCAAAAAAAAAAAAAAAACAAAGCTAAAGGCATCCGGTTACCCTACTTCAAACTATCCTAGAGAGCTACAGTAACCAAAACAGCATGGTACAGGTACAAAATAAGACACATAGGCCAATAAACAAAATAGGAAGACCAGAAATAAGGCCACACACTTACAACCATCTGATCTTCAACAAAGCAGACAAAAACAATGAGGAAAGAACTTGCTATTCAATAAATGGTGCTCGAATAATTGGAAAGCCATATGCAGAAGATTGAAATTGGATCTCTTTCTTACATCATATGCAAAAATCAACTCATGATATATTAAAGACTTAAATGTAAAACCCAAAAATATAGAAGAGAAACCCCAGAAAGCAACATACACAATACTATTCTGGATATAAGAACTGGCTAATATTTCATGAGAGAAAGGCCAAAAGCCATTGCAACAGAGGCAAAAACTGATAAATAGGACCTTATTAAACTACAGAACTTCTGAACAGCAAAATAAACTATCAACATAGTGAAAGGACAACCTATAGACTGGGAGAAAATATTTGTAAGCTATGCATCTGAGAAAGGTATAATATCCAGTACCTATAGAGAACTTAAACAAATTTACCAGAAGAAAACAACCCCATTTAAAAAATGGGCAAAAAGCACAAATAGACACTTTTTCAAAGAAGACATACACACTGCCAACAAGCACATGAAAAAATTCTCAGTATCACTAATCATTAGAGGAGTGCAAATCAAAACCACATTAAGATACCAGTCCACACAAGTCAGAGTGGCTATTGTTAAAAAGTCAAAAAATAACAGATGCTGGCAAGGTGGTGAAGAAAGGAAACACACTGTTGGTGGGAGTCTAAAGTAGTTCAGCCATTGTGAAAAGCACTATGGCAATTCCTGAAAGAGCTAAAAACAGGAACTCTCATTCAACCCAACATTCCCATTGCTGGGTATATCCTCAAAGAAATGTAATCGATGTAACATAAAGACATATGCACACATTCACAATAGCAAACATGTAAAATCAACCCAAATGCCCCTCAATGGTAGACTGGAGAAAGAATATGTGGTACATAGGCACCATGGATCATTATGCAGCCATAAGAAGAATGAGATCATGTCTTCTGCAGGAACATGAATGGATCTGAGG